GTGTAGATAATCGTTCTGAAATTTTGCATATATGTTCTCTGATACTTAAACTAATTTTCTTGAAATAATGAACAATTTTTCATGACATCGAATTTGGCTAAGAACTACCTTAATAAAAATGAATGAGTCGATGAGAACTGAAATTTCTTTCAATAAAATTAAATGAGAATTCGTTTCGAATAACAGTTTTCCTCGACTCACTCAGCAGAGCAACAGCAAGTTGGTACAAACCGCAGCATGCTGAGGGATCAGGGAATATTCTAAAGCGAATGAAATTCGTATTTGCACGGCATTAGTACTGCGACTACAATTTCGATTGTACATCGTTGAACGTCAGAGGATAGACTGTCGTACAGAACATAGCATAGTAGAAGTTTCAGCAAAGGGAACTGCCTTTGAGCTTGTTCCCGATATATTGGATGTTCAAACTTGGTGTTATGAACTTTGGGTATTTGAGAATAGGTTCGCCTTGTTACCAACCAAGTGTGTAACACAAAGAGAGAGATGACGAACGTTGCGGTCGCTATCGTTACAGTTTTAGTTTATATTTAATGGATTTTGTCAGACTCGTTAAAGTTGTGCGTGTTAACCGCGTTTTCGTTATATTAAATATTCTAGCTAACAGAAACTCGCGATCGAGCTTTGCCCGTATGGAAAATTGCCGAACTTGTGTGACCCATTTCCGGCCTCGGATGGCTTTAGCGATGGAAATGCGAGGGCTGTCTGCTTCAGAGTCGACGAACGTTTTATAACTATAACTCTTTTACGTGAAACAAATGGATAAATCGTGTCAAAATTTATGAACGTTTTTTTAACCGTTACAAGTGCAATTATGATAGGTTTTTGCGTGAGGTACATGCATGAATAGCATGAGCACTCACTTCATTAATATACAGCGAACAGAAAAACTGAATCGACACCCTTTAAAGCTGAATAAGGATTTTAATAATAGATCAGGGAATCACGTTTCTCAGTTAGGTGAATTAATTCGTTAAATATAAGGAAAGTTGAAAGAAATATTGGTAGAAATTCCACGTAAAATAATAGATCAGGGAATCACGTTTCTCAGTTAGGTGAATTAATTCGTTAAATTTAAGGAAAAGTTGAAAGAAATATTGGTAGAAATTCCACGTAAAAAAATGATTTTATCTGGGCTTGTATTTTCATTTTAATTTACGTTCAATTGCAAAATAAAATTACATGAGTAATTATATGAACGTCAGATTGCATATCGAAGAAAATGAGGCATTGATTTATTACTATCTTCGTGTTTGATGACCCTGAGGGAAAATGAACGCAATCAAGAACAGGTCGAGAATCATTGTACCTAAATAACAAAATTCGTGTTCAGGTGCATTAATTGGTAACGAGTGTCTACATGTATTATTGTTGAATTTAATTATTGAAATAATTTAATGCTACGAAATAATTTAATTTAATGCCTGCTATCTGGAAATTTTAGCCCATAAATTCAACTCCATTAGAATGCTTTCAGTGCTTTCAATTAGAAATTAAATTGCTTTCATTTTACGAGATGTTTACGCGAAGGAAATAACGAAAGTAAACTGTTTGCGAGTGTCACTGTTAATTATTTTTACGGTTTATAAAAACTTGAAGTAATTATTTGTATTTCATTAATCAACAAATGAA